TCGAAAACAACATAAAGGTTTATACAAACAAAATTAATCAGGTGGCGAGGCGCATCATGCCAGACTGATTGATTGATTGATTGGTGTTTAACGCCAATTTCAATCCTATTTTGCTATTTCTCGTGGCTGTCAGTTTTTATTGGTGGAGGAAGCCGGAGTTCCCGGAGAGAACAAACGACCCTCAGTCGGAAAACTGACAATCCTAGTCAATTAAGATCGGAGTCGAGCGCACCTGTCACGTGCGGGATTTGAACTTACAACCTCAGTGTGGACAGGCTAGCACCATGTCAGAGAGTCATATAACATCTCATTTTTTTTTCGCTTTCTACGTTTTAGGCATTTTTTACTGTTATATTGAAATGCGACGTCATAGCGGATAAGGCCCTTTTCCGCCATGATTTCAGGGATGAAAGAAATGACTAAAAATGTGTACCAAAACGCCATGAAGGTCGTTAAAGTATACATGTAATTATTTTAATGAAATGTGATGAAACAAAAGGCAAAATGCCAATTATTGCACAATATTCAATTATATTGCATACACATGCATTGAGTATTCCAACTCTGAAATATTACCAATCGGTAATCTTGAAACTCACAGTTTTAAGTTAACCGGTATTCAAAATTTCATAATTTCTTACAAAATGTATACTTCATTTATACAAAATGGAGATTAACGTGGTTAATTTTACTAATTAAATCGTCAAAATAATTCGGTTCATTCATTCAGTTCACTTCGCTAATTTTTCAAATTTTGCTACTGCTATCGACTCCCGATAAGGAAAATTACTAAATTGAGATGTGCAAATATTAGATTTCCTGTAGAAACTGAAAGATGGGCCACGATACCTAAAGAGAAAAGAATTTGTAACATTTGAAAAAACGGAATCAGGAATGAATTGATTATTTATTCCAATGTGCATTTCCACCACTTGAACAACTTCGAAGAAATATGTACCTAGTTACTAATAGTACAAATCCAAATGAGATATAAAATGAAAAATACGTTATCATTATGTCATGTTCGACTATACAAAAATCTGTCCTTGTTCCTGAAAAAAATCTCGAAGTATTTTTTAGAAAAATCATGTTTCAGATTGTGCTTTTATAGCACTAAATAATTTGTTGAAACATGATATCATATTTTCGATCTGGGTGTATGTTTTCTGTATTTTTACAGTCTCGCTTGCCATCATTTATGTATATAATGTTTGTTTATTGTCCTCTTATACACTCAAGGTGTCTGAGGTTAAATAAAGAATTTTGAACTTTGAATTTTGATTCATTAATCGATGTACATGTAAGATAGTAATGATGATTCTTGGAAGATAATCTCATTCGGTGGTTTTGGAGACATTGCGAATGAAAAGTATATCTATGCAAAATGACTAATGTTTCTGACAATGTATTTATCAAAGTTGTACAAAAATCGAACATGTAAAAATGTTGTTTGTTTATAGTTGACACGTGTTTGGTTATTTATAGTAAGGTCGGTTCCATTTGGATATTGAGTTCATGCACGAGTGAAATAAGTTGGTTTCAAGTCATTAGAGCCATTGCAGTCAAAGTGTACAGTACCAGCTGCTTAATTTCGGTGTATTTACACGAACTTTCCACATTATATTACTCATATTAAAAAAATCGTAAGGGTTCCGCGGAACCCAGTGTCTCGCCTACTTTTGCTGTTAATCGCAGGCTAAAAAAAAAACGAAAAAAAATAATAAAAATATTCCTCTCTATACTATCTTTTGATTGTAAGTAGCTTCTGTCCAAGTTTGGTAAAAATCCAGGATAGTTTATGAATCTAATAAATGTTTTAAAAACTTAAACTGCAGACTGTATGTCATGTTAACTGGAAGAAAAACTAAGTCCATTTATAAGTAAAAATTAGGAAAAAATGGAACAAATTTATAACAAAATTTCCTTCTAGATACTAGCTATTAATCATAAACAAGCTTCTGTCTAAGTTTGGTACAAATCCAAGATAGTTTAAGAAAGTTGTTAAAATTTTAAAAACTTTAACCACAGAGTGAACGTAATGTTAACTGGCAGAAAAACTAAGTCCATTTATAAGTAAAATACTGAAAAAATGATATTTTTTTTTTACAAAATTTACTATTGGATATTATCTTATGATCATAAACAAGCTTCTGTCCAAGTTTGGTAGAAATCCAGGATAGTTTAAGAAAGTTATTAAAATTAAAAAAACTTTAACCACAGAGTGAATATTTGTGGACGCCGCCGCCGCCGACGACAACGACGACGACGACGACGGAACGTAGGATCGCTATGTCTCGCTTTTTCGACAAATGTCGAAGGCTCGACAATGAGCGCTTGTCTCTGCAAGTGGTGTCTCCCATGTGAGAGTTTGTGGTTATTTGATAAATATTTTATGTTCGTTTGAGTTAACGAATTAGAATTTAAGATATAAAACACGCGCATTACGCAATTGGATTGAAAAGGCATAAGCAAATAATTATAATTTTGACAGTTCTATTTTGGAACCCATTTTCAACCCCTAAACAAACGTTGTAAAAATAGAAAATTAAAAGAGGCATAAAACTGACCTTTGAAAAGAATCTGAATACACTAATTTTAAAATCCTTTGCAATGAATGGCTAGATATGTCTTATTTTCGATGCAAAATATAGTTAGCGTGCATTTGGTGTCCAGGATACACGTATATGTATGGGGTAAACAAATTAGTACAAATCTAGACACCGCGGTTTTATATATAAATAGCGGACACAAGTGGACTCAAATCTATTTCCATATATTATTAAGAATTAAAGAAACAAAGGATACAGGCGGAAACAAATGGACACAAGGTTATTTCTATATAAAAATTATGGAAACTGGAGGCTACAAGGTTTATATTTGTGGTTCAAAGAACAATGCCCCCTATTTGGGACATACAAAAAGGTGCAATAAAAATATTCTCACCTCTGTGAAGAGTATTACTATATTAACAAATCGCCCACAAAATGCAGTAAAAATCATCCGAAAAGGGTCGCAATTATTTAAATAAGAAATCGCCAAGACAACTTCAGCCATGTTGACTTTTCTATTTGTAGATCTTGCTAGTATTTTCTGCTTTTAAAGTTTCTATTTATTTTAGTTTTCAAGATAAAAGGCAAAAATGAAGATTTTCTCTATTTATTAAGAGTTTTCCAGATAAAACAGATTTGCATTTGACACCTATGTTCTACTGTAAGCCATGTTGACCATGTTGGTTGGAAAGCACTTAACTAGATACCCCAATGAATAGTTTGGTCAAGTTTGGTTAAATTTGGCCTAGCAGTTTCAGAGATATTTTTTCTAAAATTAACAACGACGCACACAGTGATGAGAATAAATAAATAAGGTAACTAAGGGACACTCAATGTACTGTCAAAGTGTACTGTCAATGTCAAAACCATTTATGTGGACATTGACCTGTACTCGATGATCAATGAAACTGAACAAATTTCTAAGGATTGGACCAAGTGGTACTATCATGAATCACCATCCAGAATGCAAAGAAATGTAGTTTTTAAGCAATTCCAAGGCAGGTCTTTTGAAGGATAAATGTCAAAACCATATCAAAAGCAAACTAGACCCGTGTATGCTTCAAAAGATGTGAGCATGCAGTATTATCATAAAAAAGATGAAACCCATAATACAGGTGTAATACCACCAAATTATAGTACGTCACATCCGGTTGCATACGAAGAAGGTTCGAAAAAAATATCCCCTTGAATTTGCCAGTTGAAGGCAATTTATCCAACATTTTATTGCAGTAAAAAAAAATTCCGAGTCATAAACACAGCTTGGGTGTTTCAAAGCATCATTCTTTTTTATTAGCTCACCTGGCCTAAAAGGCCAAGTGAGCTTTTCTCATCACTTGGCGTCCGTCGTCCGTCGTCGTAACTTTTTACATTTTGAAGTTCTTCTAAGGATCATTAATTGGAATGAAACCAAACATTGCATGAATATTCCTTATGAATGAATATTCCTTATGAGGTTTTGACCAAGTGTTGTTACTTTGTAGCTGATCCATCATCCAAGATGGCCGCCAGTGGGGGGGGGGGGCTTCGTTTAACATAGGACCATATGGACAATACATACAAATGTTTTCTTTTAGAGAAACACTGAATGGAATGAAACCAAACATGAAATGAATGTTCCTAATGAGGCGCTTACCAAGTGTTGTTACTTTGTAGCCAATCAATTATCCAAGATGGTTTCCAGCGGGGAACTTAGTTTAACAAAGGACCCTATGTGAAATACATACAAAAGTCTTCTTTTGAAGAACCACTGAATGTAATGAAACCAAACATGGCATGAATGTTCCTTATGAGGTGCTGACCAAGTGTTACTTTGTAGCAAACTTGGTCTCAATTATTATTAGGGTATCTGTTATGATTTTAATCTATTTTTACATGATTTCCACAACCAAAGTAGAACCAGGTGAGCGACACAGGATCGTCAGAGCCTCTGGTTTGGTGTTTCTATTGACTATTTAGGAAAATTGAGGTTACATGGTTACAAAAGCTTGTACACAGGAAAAAAGGGGAGAACATTTGATTGGTGAACTTCCAGCGATGGTAATCATCGTATATGCAATGACATGTTATTTGAAATTTTGTCTGTAGCCATACAGCTAGAAAGAATAAAACTTGATTAAAGCAAGTATTTCTTTATTTGGAACAAAGATAAATTTTTAGAAGAGTGCAAATTTAACAAAGACTAATGGGGGAAAACAATGGTAATATTACACCTCTAAAGGTAAGCAAGACAAAATCGAACTTGACCTACATTTTATTGTTGTCCATGACATTAAGCAAATTGTAATTAATCGGAGTGGAAAGCAAACTTGAGACAGGACAAAGGGATGGATGAACATGTGCATCACCATGGAAGGGGTTAATGAGCTGTAACATAGGTTTTGTCAAAAAAAAAAAAAAAATTCATTTACGAATCTTTCCAAATATTTAGGCTTAAACAAAACAAATAATATATTCATATTGCCGATAACCTGGACATCGGATTTTATCTTCATTAAAACAATAAACATGCATACAAGGATAAGCATAAATACATAAACAAAATCGTAGCAATTGATGAAATGCTCTTACATTGTATTTTATGTGAAATATCAAATAATGGCAAAAATTCTATCATCGACGACCCCGCCGACATGGAACAACCAACTAAAAGCTGAAAATGTAGTGGGTAAAAAATTGAAAAATTCCAATACCCAATGCTAGGAAGATTGTCTAAGGAGGTATACTTGAACAGTTTTAAAGAAATCCTTATTATTCAAAACAGACTGCTGGCCAGAAGTGTTGGATTATAAATTATTTTTCAATGTAAATCCTTGAAACATGGGAAAATTTAATTCTAAAGCATCATGATAAATACCAAAATAACACTTCCTAAACCTATCGTAACTACTTTTATGCCACTGTAGTACATCATCATAGTATTAGATGAAGACAGATCTGCATCATGAGTTAGGTGTAATTAGAAAAAAATATTATTGTACAAAATACATGAAAGTATTGTTGATTCATTTTATTTCCTGGATACCAGATCTCAGTGTTTGTTATAAAAAAAAAACCTTGATAACTGAAGATGTCCAGTACTGCCCTGCTTGCACCTTTTTGTGCGAGGCATACACAAATATTGATTGTAATACTAAAAAACTCAATTCAATTAATTCAATGTTTTATGAATGTGTCATCTCTCAACATTGTAAAACAACACTAAATAAAATGAGCCATTCTATACAGAATTATAAAGACTATTAAAATGTATAGATATAATACATTAAACAATATGAAATAAAGTACTACATGTATTTTCCATATATAAAATTTCAACGCCTTTTTAAAATCAAATAACAGATTTGGAACACATGTATCATATTTACATCTGAGAATAAAAACACAAACTTTTGGTTATCATCTAAAGTATTAAAACTTTCATTATAAGTTTCAGCAACATAATATAAATGGTTTCTAAAATCTTCGTAAAGAGGACATCTTAATAAAACAATAATTGTGCTTCGTCTTCAATAAAACTATAACATATATGGCACAAGCTAAAACAATATTTCCATATTTCCCAGTTTAAATCCTTAGTGGAGCAACACCACATCTAAATTTGAGAAAAGCACTTCTGTGACTGAAATTCATTTTGACATTAAAAGTTTTTCAGTCAAACAACATAATTAGTGTCCATATTTTCAGGAAACCATAAATGACTTGAATTCAGTTCAGAGAAGGTTTTCCTTACTAAAAAGTTCCAGTTTTCAGCACACTTATGCTTAATGATCATTCTATCAGCCCACTAATGAACTTTTGCATTTATCCGACCTTAGCTCATGTGATTTAATCTACACCACAAACGAATAATACTTTTCCACTGCTTATCAAAAATAGGTGGTATTAACTACATACTTGTGCCCAATATAAACAATGCAAACATAATCTTAGTTTGCGGACAGCCCGTCATGCTCGATGGACGCCAGATTGTATTATAAATATTCACAAATTCAATAAATCATTATTATTGCAATGCATATATAATTCAAAATCATACAATTCCTATGTATATATTATCCCATGGAAGTAAAATATAATACTTCCATGATTTTCCTAAATACACCAAAACAAACTTTTGACTAAATGCACCCCTTCATAGACAGTCAAGGCCGGCCAGGAACAACTAGAGATAAAAAACGATATAATCGATCAAAAAGCTCTAGAAACCTGTGTCAGTGGATGCCAAGTGCGCAATCCCGTCTCCAGGGTCAGGTGCTCTGACCTACACCATAAAACATGTGTGTATTGACAAATCAAATGCAATATAAAATAAAATTATCAACGTATAATACAATAATACCCAAGTCTCCAGTAACTGCAGCATTTGGTGCATATTTTTCTACTTCTAGAAAATCTATAGGCCCCATTATGTATGGAATTTATACAAGAATATCTTTTCACACCCCATATACCTTTTCATATTCTATTATAGGACAAACCAAACTTTCATATAATTTTACAAATACATCGAAACAAACACCCCCTAAAAGTTTACACTTGGCTATTACCATCTCTAAAGCTCTATTCCCTGAAGATGCAACGGCTTTTGCAGTGATATTATAGTCTAAATGCTTGTTTAAAACGAGACCAAGTATCATTACTAGAAGACTTTATAGTATGACCATTACAATTAAAAATTACATCATATCTAGGTATAGATGGTGGACTAAATTGTACAATGTTACTCTTGTTTGTATTAATTGTCATACAATTGTCTTCAAATCATGTAGAAAAAGCATTTACCAAAAGTTGTAGCTCTTTTTCATCGTTTGCTATAATAACATCATCAGCATATAATAAAATACAGTTTTTCATCACCAATTTCTATTCCGCAGTCAAAGGACTTAAGAAATGGTAATCATTAATATACAAGTTGAACAAAATGAGCGACAAGGTACATCCTTGTTTCAAGCCAGTGTTTACATCAAACCAGTCTGTGAAATGACCGTTTATTCTTACAGAACATTGGTATAAATTGACTTAATAGCAGAACAAAAGTCTGTGCAACACCAATTTTATTTAGTTTATACCATGAAATATCTCTTTGAAGTGTCGTAAGCCTTTTTAAAATCAATAAAGGCGCAAAAGATTGATTTAGGAAGTGTTTTTCTCACATCTATCAAATTAGTAAGAGTAGATAATTGGTCTATTGTACTACAAAGTTGCGGTAAACCATTCTGTTCCTCAACCAGTACATTGTTATCATCTACCCACTGAGCTAATCTATAGTTCAGTATATTACAGTACAATTTGTAAGACACTGATGCTAGGGCGATCCCTCTATAACAAAGGGGGGGTTTCTCGCATCTGACATGTTAGATTTAGGAATATGATTTATAATACATCAATACTTTTAATAGGATCCTTTAGACTATACTTAATGACACTACCTAATTAAGTGGATTAACCGTGTTAGCTATCAGTGATTTTGCAGATCCATTTAACAAAATGTTTTAATGAAGCAGAAATTTATATTTGGAATTTTGTTTTCACTAGTGCTTAAATTTAGAACATAAATTAAGTTTTTCTAATTTTCAATTTCCATCCATCAAACTGTGTCAAATACAATTTAATTTTGATACAATAACTTTCCAAAATCGATTTAAAAATTATAAATTATAAAGTTTAAATATTATATATTCACAGTTCAAATGTTCATGCACTAATATTGTTTCTTTTTCAATGACAATAAAATACCAAATGTATATCATTTCAGAATTACATTGACAGTTCCCTTTGAATGACAAAACCATATCCTGAAGACTAGAAACCACTGATTCCTCCACAGAAAAAAACAAGAAACACCTCAATAAGAACTACCTCAGTAACTCCGAAACCCACTATGTTAAATGTTAGTGAAGATGATACCATGCAAACAAAATGTACTTCTGAAATGATAATTTGATATTTGCTTAGTCCACAACAAAACTTTTAAGATATACATTAAAGGGTGCATGAACTAAACCATAAGTTAAAGTCAATTTTGTTTGTGTTAATTTGAAATTGATTTTTTTTTTGAATTTTGAATTTAAATATATTTAACAAAACTGCATATACATTTTTGTTTTTATCTTACAAAAGCAATGACAGATATAACAGGAAAAAGTATTTCACCAAATTGGGTGTTCTGATTTGGTTACTCAAAAGATGATGCAAAAAGGAAAATACAGAATATTTACCGACTATTCTAATTTATTCATATGTAGATATGGTAACTTGTCAAATTTGAAGATAGTTTCTATTTTAAGATCTTATTTAGAGCTGGCATTAATTACAACCAACAACTGATCTTTTGGCTTAATTATGATTGTTATATCATTGTAGACATATTGAGAGCACTTGGCAAATTCTCATCTGATATTTTGAACATTAGAGATTCCTATAATCTTAATCTATAAACCATAATCTTATTTATTCTCTAAAGAATTAAACTGTCTCTTCACGATTCTCAATTTAACATCTGCTGCTGCCATGCTGCACCTTCTACCACTGAAACATCATATGAGTTGCATCTGTAAAAAAAACAATCAATTCAGAAATTAATGTGATGCATGTTGTATGTCAAATCCTTAATTGGAGACAAGAATTTTTACAATCACTATACATTCTTATTAAAATATATCTCATTACAGTGAATATTTCAATAAATGAAATGTAGGACCAATTTGTAATAAAATTTCAAGCTGTTGTTCCAGGAAAAACTGATTTTTATTACCCAACAAATATAAACATAGTTTTAAGAACAATTGTTATGAATAAATACCTACATGTGAGTAATCCTAATGTGCTATCTGCAATGGAAGCATCTTTCATGGTATAGGAGTCTTACATATTTAGGGTGTATCTGTTAACAAAAACAAATATTTTAAATTAGTTTCAGCTTCAAAATCAAAGCTATTTGCTGTTGCAATCAATTCAGAAATTAATGTTATGCATCTTTGATGTCAAATCCTAAATTGGAGACGTATATTTACAATAACTATACGTTCTTATTAAAATATACTTCATTAGGATATAAATAGGAATAAAAGAAATTTTAGACCAATTTGTTATAAAGCTTCAATCTGTTGTTTCAGTAAAAACTGATTTTTAATGCCTAACAAATACTAGAGGCTTCAAGGAGCCTGTGTTGCTCACCTGATATTTTTATTTACAATTGATGCATGAAATAATGCAACCGTTATACATTTGCTTTAGTTTCAGAGATATAAGTCAAAAACTGCATTTTCCCCCTAAGTTCTACTTTTAGCCATGTCTGACATGTTGGTTGGCAGACAGGGTCATCGGACACATTTTTTAAACTAGATACCCCAGTGATGATTGTGGCCAAGTTTGGTTAAATTTGTCTCAGTTGTTTCAGGAGAGAAGATTTTTGTAAAAGACTACAAAAATTTACGAATAATTGTTAAATTTGACTTTAAAGGGCAATAACTCCTTATGGGGTCAATTAACCATATTGGTCATGTTGACTTATTTGTAGCTCTGCCTTTGCTGAACATTATTGCTGTTTACAGTTTATCTCTATCTATAATAATATTCAAGATAACAAAAAAACTGCAAAATTTCCTTAAAATTACTAATTCAGGGGCAGCAACCCAACAACGGCTTGTCTGATTCATCTGAAAATTTCAGGGCAGATAGATCTTAACCTGATAAACATTTTTACCCATTGACAGATTTGTTCTAAATGCTTTAGTTTCAGAGATATAAGCCAAAAACTGCATTTTACCCCTATGTTCTATTTTTAGCCATGTCGGCCGTCTTGGTTGGCAGGCCGGGTCATCGGACACATTTTTTTAAACTTGATACCCTAGAGATGATTGTGGCCAATTTTGGTAAAATTTGGCCCAGTAGTGTCAGGAGAAGATTTTTGTATTAACGGACGACGACCACGGACGCCAAGTGATGAGAAAAGCTCACCTGGCCCAAACCAAAGGGGCCAGGTGAACTAATAAACCTAGTTTAAAGAAAAGAATTGTAATGAATAAATACCTACATGTGACATCCTAATGTGTGCTATCTACAATGAAACCATCTTCATTGTGGAAGAGTGTAACATATTTAGGCTGTATCTGTAATAAAAACAAAAATTGTAAATTAGTTTCAGCTTTAAATAGGGAATATTTGCTGTTGCAATCAATTCAGAAATTAATGTGATGCATGTTTTATGCCAAATCCTAAATTGGAGACTAGTCTAGAATATTTACAATTACTTAACTTATTACAGTAAATATTTGAATAAAAGAAATGTTCAACAAATTTGTAATATTATTTCAAATTGTTGTTCAAGGGGAAAACTGATTTTTGTTACCAAACACATATAAAAAGAGTTAAAAGTACAATTATAATGACAAAATACCTACATGATACGAATCTTCGTGTGCTATATACCATGAAAGCATCTTCATTGTCTAGGAGTGTAACATATTTAGGCTGTATCTATAACAAAACCAAATCATCAATTAGTATCAACTTCAAATAGAGACTATTGGCTGTTGCAATTAATTCAAAATTAATATGATGCATTTTTTATGACAAATCCTAATTTGAAGACAAGTATATAAACAATTTCTATACATTATCATTAATATAAACCTATAATGGTTTACTTTTATAAATTGTAACTTGGATGGAGAGTTGTCTCATTGGCACTCATACCACATCTTCCTATATCTATTCATAAGAGTATAAATTTGAATAAAAGAAATTTTAAACCAATTTGTAATCAAATCTAATTTAAGCTGCTGTTCCAGGGAAAACTGATTTTTGTTACCTGCAAACCATATAAACATAGTTTAAAGTACAATTAAAAATACCAAATACCTACATGCTACATATCCAGATGTGTCATCAATCTACCATGAAAGCATCTTCATTGTCTAGGAGTGTAACATATTTAGGCTGTATCTATAACAAAACCAAATTATCAATTAGTATCAGCTTCAAATAGAGACTATTGGCTGTTGCAACAATTATAAAATAAATGTCACTCATTTTATGTTAAATCCTAAATTGGACACAAGAATATTTACAATTACTACGCATTCATGTTAAAATTTACTTCACTAGATTATAAATTTGAACAAAAGAAATATGTACACTAATTTGAAGTAAAATTTTATTTAAGCTGTTGTTCCAGGGAAAACTGATATTTATTACCCAATACATATAAACATAGTCTTAAAGTACAATTGTAATGACTAAATACCTACACGTTAAACATCCTAATGTGCCATCTACCATGAAACCATCTTCATTGTGTGGGAGTGGAACATATCTGGGCTGTATCTGTTATAAAAGAAAAAATATAAATTAGCATCAGCTTTAGAGAATATTTAATGGCTGTTGAAAAAATTAAAAAATTAATGTGATTCATGTTTTATGTCAAATCTTAAATTACGGACACTTAATTTACAATTACTCTTTCATTCTTATTAAAATATTCCACATTTGAAATTCGAATAAAAGATATTTTAGACCAATTTGTAATAAAATTTTAAGCTATTGTTTCAGTGAAAACAAGATTTTTATTGACTTCCAAATATTAACATAGTTTTAAGTACAATTGTAATGACCAAATACTTACATGTTGACTCTTCCTATCTGCCATGAATCCATCTTCTCTGTCTAGGAGTGCAACATATTTAGATGTATCTTTAACAAAAACTATAAATTAATATCAGCTTTACATACAGACTATTTGCTGTTGCAATTTTTTCAGAATTTAATCTTTTGCATGTTGGACAAGAATATTTATAATTACTATACATTCCATTAAGAATATATTTCATTAGAGTATATATTTGAAGAAATTTTTTTTGTGACCAATTTGTAATAAAGTTTCAAATTGGTTGATAATGAAATAGAGCCAGACAAAAAACTAAATACATTTTACCATAAACACAAGTTTTCATCACACTATGTAATCAGCTCTGCTGGGGGATCTGCTTTTACGAGATTAGCGCCCATTAAATTCATCAATGTTATATCAAAATCTGAAGTTTGCTCTCTGCAGAGGTCTGCTTTTACGAGACCCATTTTAACATAAAGCATCTTTTTGTCAAACTTTTCAGGAAAAAACGGATTTTTATTACCTAACAAACATAAACATAGTTTTAAGAACAATTGTAATGACCAAATACCTACATGTGCAACATCCTAATGTGTGAAAGCATCTTTCATGGTAAAGGAGTGTTACATATTTAGGCTGTATAATCTGTAACAAAAACAAAAATTATTAATAAGTTTCTGCTTTAAATCCAGACTTTTTGCTGTTGCAATCAATTCAGAAAATAATGTGATACATGTTTTATGTTAAATCCCAAATTAGAGAAAAGTATATAATTACAATTACTATACATTCTTATTAAAATATTCAGCATTAGAGTATAAATTTGAATGAAAGAAATTTTAGACCAATTTGTTAAAAAGCTTCAATCTGTTGTTTCAGGAAAAAACTGTTTTTTATTACCTAACAAGTATTAATATAGTTTTAAGGAAAATTGTAATGACCAAATACCTACATGTGACTTATCCTAATGTGCATCTGCAATGGAAGCATCTTTCATGGTATAGGAGTCTTACATATTTTGGCTGTATCTGTAATGAAAACAAAAAAATATACATTTATATCAGCTTTAAATCCAGACTATTTGCTGTTGCAATCAATTCAGAAATTAATGTGATGCATGTTGTAAGTCAAATCCTTAATTGGAGACAAGAATTTTTACAATCACTATACATTCTTATTAAAATATATCTCATTACAGTGAATATTTCAATAAATGAAATGTAGGACCAATTTGTAATAAAATTTCAAGCTGTTGTTCCAGGAAAAACTGATTTTTATAACCTAACAAATATAAACATAGTTTTAAGAACAATTGTTATGAATAAATACCTACATGTGAGTAATCCTAATGTGCTATCTGCAATGGAAGCATCTTTCATGGTAAAGGAGTCTTACATATTTAGGCTGTATCTGTTAACAAAAACAAATATTTTAAATTAGTTTCAGCTTCAAAATCAAAGCTATTTGCTGTTGCAATCAATTCAGAAATTAATGTTATGCATCTTTGATGTCAAATCCTAAATTGGAGACGTATATTTACAATAACTATACGTTCTTATTAAAATATACTTCATTAGGATATAAATAGGAATAAAAGAAATTTTAGACCAATTTGTTATAAAGCTTCAATCTGTTGTTTCAGTGAAAACTGATTTTTAATGCCTAACAAATACTAGAGGCTTCAAGGAGCCTGTGTTGCTCACCTGATATTTTTATTTACAATTGATGCATGAAATAATGCAACCGTTATACATTTGCTTTAGTTTCAGAGATATAAGTCAAAAACTGCATTTTCCCCCTAAGTTCTACTTTTAGCCATGTCTGACATGTTGGTTGGCAGACAGGGTCATCGGACACATTTTTTAAACTAGATACCCCAGTGATGATTGTGGCCAAGTTTGGTTAAATTTGTCTCAGTTGTTTCAGGAGAGAAGATTTTTGTAAAAGACTACAAAAATTTACGAATAATTGTTAAATTTGACTTTAAAGGGCAATAACTCCTTATGGGGTCAATTAACCATATTGGTCATGTTGACTTATTTGTAGCTCTGCCTTTGCTGAACATTATTGCTGTTTACAGTTTATCTCTATCTATAATAATATTCAAGATAACAAAAAAACTGCAAAATTTCCTTAAAATTACTAATTCAGGGGCAGCAACCCAACAACGGCTTGTCTGATTCATCTGAAAATTTCAGGGCAGATAGATCTTAACCTGATAAACATTTTTACCCAGTGTCAGATTTGTTCTAAATGCTTTAGTTTCAGAGATATAAG